GAGATGAGGGGAGATCGCAGGGAATTGAAGTGGAGAGGTCACTGTCCTTAACAGGGGTGCTCTCAGACCTACATCGGCCCCGTGCTGATCTCTGTCAACCCCTTCAAGCAGCTGCCCTACTTCACGGACAGGGAGATTGAGATGTACCAGGGGGCTGTGAGTATCCAGCCAGGAGGCTGCCTTGAGCTCGTGGAAGAAGGGAATAGTGTCCCTTCAGTCAGGGTCTCTAGCCATTCCACTTGTGCCTACAAATCACCCCCCATCTAATCCATCACTCCTTAGACCAGCCATTCTCCTTATCTTAATCATGCTGATTGCCAATTAAACGGTGCTGGATTTGGATGCAGAAATCCGTGTAGCTCGATTGGCAGGGATGAGTCCGGGTCTGTGCCTTTGTGACCACTGACCTCCAGCATCCAGTCATTCAAGGACACTCATTCTAATTCTCAGACGTTTTTCAGGCAGTAGATCCCCAGGACACTAGCAGGTGGGGGCTGGTGTTTTTCTGGGGAATAAAAAGAATTAAGAGGCCTCATGTGTGACTCCTGGAAGATGGCCTTCCTCTAGTGCTCTGTCTACGGGCCACATGGTTTATGAGACAGGAGTGGTTCAGTGATTAAAAACAACTAAGCTCCCTGCAGACGAGCAGTTTGTACCTGGGCTGGGCGGATCAAGGCAGGCCAGCGCCTGCAGGAGCGCGTGTCTGTGCGAACAGCTGTCTGCAGGCGTGTGGCCTTCTTCCTTACCTGTGCTTGCGACCCGCGTGACGGAAACCAGGGTCCTCAAGCTTAATGCTCGTTAACTCTGACTGACAACTGCTGAAAGACAGTTTTACAGCTGGTATTCCCTGCTTTCACTGATGTGGTAGGCAGATCTAAACGTGTGCGTGGGAATACATCAGGAGTCCCTGTGTTGGCTTGTGTCCGTGTATTTGTGCTCACTGCCAGTGATAGTATGTGGAGCTCCTTATCTCACACACGCACATGCACAGCACTAGGGAATGCCATTCTGTCGCCACGGTTACTCCCCAGCTTGAGTCGGATGTTGGCAGGACCTGGGCACGTGCGACCAGTGTGGGTATGGTCTCGCTCTCCCCTCCTCTGGCCCGGTCGCCCCCTGTAACAACAGGGGGAGGGGACCAAAAAGAAGTCTGGCGCCATCTTGTGTGGGGGAAAAGAGCTCACGAATGTTGTGTTTTTACAACTGTAGCACGTCCCTCAAGAAGAGCCGAATGAATCTGCCTTTCTCAGTGCTAGGGAGATTTTCCAAAATGCGTCAGCTGTGTGAAGCGAAGGAGTAGTGTTTCTTGTTGATGCCGCTGTTCGGAGGTGCACTGCGGGGCTGTGGGGGTGTTACAGTGGTGTCGTGTCCCTCAGGCCCAGTACGAGAACCCCCCTCACATCTACGCCCTGGCGGACAACATGTACCGGAACATGATGATCGACGCCGAGAACCAGTGTGTCATCATCAGGTGAGGCACCCTCCCAGAGCACTGTGGGATACTCCCTGCTGGAGGCCAGATAGCCAGGGCAGTGGTCACTGGGGGGGAGGGCACTGCAGAACCTTCTGCTCACAGAGAGAGCTGCATCACCCCTGGGCTCAGTAAGCCCTGGATGACGTTTCCTGATGGACAGCAGTTTTGGTCTCAAGCCCTCCAGATCCTTTTGTTGTCTACGTGTGCTTCATATCGGGATCTCATGGCTGTAAGAGGAGAGTGGTCCCCTTCTCCGTTCATAAGCACGTATGAACAGTGTGGTTTCTGAAATTCCCTGTGACCTGATTTCCCTTGATCCACGTGCTGTGGGTTATATCGTACACACTGTCAGTTCGGCCACCTCCTCACCTGGGTGCGATGAGAGGTCGGGGGTGGGGGATCCGTGTTGTCCTGTCAGGCGTGTGCTGTGCTCCAGTCTCTTTCCTCGGCTGCGCTGAGCACCTGTTCACCTGTCTGCTGTGCTCCGATTGCAGTGGGGAAAGTGGTGCTGGGAAGACCGTGGCAGCCAAGTACATCATGAGCTACATCTCCAAAGTGTCAGGCGGGGGCCCCAAAGTACAGGTAAGGGGACAAACGGGGCGGTAGCAAAGGTCAGAGGGTGGGAGGGGGTCTGGCTTTGCGGCCACTCGTGCATGGACTCCAGAACCTGCTGCAACCAAGCCAGACTGGGCCTGATGAGCCTGGCACCGCTTAACGAAGCAAATACCACTCTTGGCTCAATGGGACCAATGGGTTTGGACAGCGTCAAGAAATGTAAAGGTGACTCGGCTGGTTCTGTGCAGGGAGAGGGCATGGGTGTATGTCCTGTCTGATGCCATCAGAAGTTACACCGAAGTGGCAGCTTTCTTATCGGTGATCACAGCCGCTAAAGTAAGACTCGGTCAGTGGGCGCAGGGTCAGACAAACCAGGTCAGAAGCGGTTCAGCTGACCAGGTCGCCCAGCCTACCAGGTGGGGAGCTGGGTGAAATGTGGAGGGAACCCTGTACTGCTGCTCTTCAACTCTGTCTCGCTGGGTCCCCTCTTCCCTCTCGCAGCAAGTCAAGGACATCATCCTGAAATCCAATCCCCTGCTGGAAGCGTTCGGGAATGCCAAGACCGTCCGGAACAACAACTCCAGCCGTTTCGTAAGTCTGCCTGATCTCTTCTGGTCGGCCGGGACGTTGGAGCCGAATCCGTGTTTAACACGGTGTTAAAATAATAGGAACACCAGGTTCCTGTTTTAGAAGGTACCACCCAATATGGGATCCGCCATGTGCTCTTGTACTGGAAGGGCGCACAAACACTCCCCCTCCTCTGACACGCCCACCTGCTGGGCCGCTCCTCACTGGGCGAGCTGCGAGTGGCCACAGCGCCCCCCCGGTGGCGGGTGGCGGAGGAGCTGCTCGGTCCTCTTTGACATCGCTGGGCGCCTGCAGGTAGCTGGTGGATCTCGGGCGTCACCCCTGGGTTGGGGGTCCCCTGGCTGACTAATCCCGGGCCTATCCTAATGGCAGTCGGCTCATCCTATACTGCCGTGTGGGACGTCCCAGTCACAGCTGCCCAGAGACGTGCTGGGACAGCACACAGACCGGGCTCCAGGCTCCCAACACCTGGATCAAGGAGCTCTTCCGGCACCTCGGGATCCCCAATAACGGAGCGCTTCTAATCAGTTGAAAAGACCCGGCTAGCCGTTGCCCCAAAGCGGGAAGATTATAAGGAAGACGTTTCTTCTTCCTCTAGTGCCCCACTGTGTGATCATTTCCATAGCTCAGTCGACTGGAGCATTGCCACTGAGAAATAGTCCATTTCAAAACAGCGGCTTAAGGCAGACCCCCAGAGATCAGGGGGGCATGAGTGAGACGATTCTCAACTCAAAAGACAGCCAGCCTCCATCAAACCACCAGAATCGATCAAAACTTCAGAAGTGAACTTCAATCATCCTGCGTCCCAGTGGCCCTTTCTTAATACTGCTGGTCATTCCCAAATGCCCCCAAAGTCCAGTCTGATGTTTTTAATTTGGGATCGTTGGAGGTCCCTGGACTGGTTACTCTGGGGGGGGTGTTGCTGTTGTAAAGACCCGGTATGAGCTCTTGAGAGATCTGTAGGTCGCCTACAGCTGAGCAGCATCGCCAAGTGCCCGGCCACAGGTCTCTGACCCGCCCCTCGCCGCGTCTGTCCGCAGGGGAAGTACTTTGAAATCCAGTTCAGCCGCGGGGGGGAACCCGATGGAGGCAAGATCTCCAACTTCCTCCTGGAGAAGTCGCGAGTGGTCAGCCAGAACCGCGGAGAGAGGAACTTCCACATCTACTACCAGGTCCGGTGCTTCCCTGGGAGAGAGTCTTCCAGCCGCCAGTCCGCTCACTGGAGGTGTATCAAGGGCGCAGTAACGCTAATTCCAGACAATATCAGGCAGTGTGTTAAGCAAAAGGAGTCTGTAAAGAGTGATGCTTTTCGGTCAATCCGGGGTCTGTACAGTGATGTGCTGAGTCCAGGGGTGGGATCCGTCTATTTTCCAACTACGTTATCCAGTACAGGGTCACAGGGTCACGGGGGAGGTGGAGTCTATCCCAGCATGCAACGGGTACAAGGCAGGGTACACCCTGGATGGGACACCAGTCCATCACAGGGCACGCACGCACGCACGCACGCACGCACGCACGCACGCACGCACGCACGCACGCACACACACACCAGGGCTGGTTTTCCCCACATGCCAGTTACCCTGACAGTAAGTCTTTGGTCTGTGGGAATGAAACCCACAAGCTCCAAGAAGGTAGCACCCCAGGAATTGAACGTAGGGCCCCCAACACTGCAAGGCAGCAATGCTCATCTCTGGGCCACCATGTTCTGTCAGGTTTTGTGTAAGTTCTGACAGTTCGGTTGAGAGTGATGCGCCAGTTGGCTGCTGTCATCACACAGGCCGACGGGAAGTGTTTTCAGATCAGGCTCGGTTCGGATGGCCAGGACTGCGGAGATAAGTCCGTGATCGGGGAAGAAATTTGCTCTAGTGAAAAGCCTGGATGAGGGTCGTACGGCCGTTGTTAAATGTGTCAACGTGGTTGAATTTGACCCCCAACAGCTCCTGAACGGCGCCTCAAAAGACCAGAGGGAGAACCTGGGCATCACCACCCCCGATTATTACTACTACCTCAACCAGTCAGGAACCTACACTGTGGAGGATGTGAACGACAAGCAGGAGTTCAGCGAGACCGCGGTAGGAGTGCCTCTCTCCCTCCCCCTGCTAGTTAGCAGGCGGCATCACAGTCTGACCTGCGTAGTGAATGAACCGGTCCAGTCTTGACGTGCTGGCACGTCTGTAGGCTCTCTAGGTCTCTTCAAAGCATCCGCACCTGTCGTGCAGAGAAAAGGTGGCATTAGGTCCGTATGAGTCAAACAAAGTTGGTTTAGGTCCTAAAGAGCTGAGCTGTAGTGGAAAACTGCGGACACACAGGTCTCTCCGCTGCCGGGTTTGGAAAGTCCTTGCGTCAGGCAGGTGTCTGGGTTAACGAGGAACCCTCCTGCGCCGTTTTCCTGCAGAACGCCATGACAGTGGTGGGGCTGAGCCCGGATGATCAGGCCACCGTCCTGCAGCTCGTGGCCGGGATCCTGCACCTGGGCAACATCACCTTCCAGGAGCAGGGCAACTACGCCGTGGTGGAGAGCGAAGACTGTAAGACACCGGGCGCCTTACCCACACCCACACGGGACAGACCCACAGCACCGCACACAGTACTGTCACGAAGCCCTGTCTGCGCCATTCCCCTGTCTCTGTGCCATCTCCTGTCATTTGCCAAACCGCTTTGTACCGACGGTGTCGCGGGATGCGTGAACCTTCCCAGCAGGCAGCGAGCGCAAGGCAGGGTACACCCTGGATGGGACGCCAGTGCATCGTAGGGCACGTGCAAGCCAGTCGTACACGGGGTCAATTTGGAGGCGACAGTAAAGGCCAAAGGGGGTAAATTTGTTCCAGACACTGTGATAACTCCCTACTCTTAATGAGAAATTCCCGGGGATCTTTAATGACCACTGAGAGTCAGGACCTCGTTTTAACGTCTCATCCGAAGGATGGCACCTTTCTACAGTATAGTGTCCCAACCACTATACTGGGGCATTAGGACCCACACAGATCGCAGGGTGAGCGCCCCCTACTGGCCCCACTGACACCTCTTCCAGCAGCAACCATAGCTTCCCAGGAGTCCCCCATCCAGGTACTGACCAGGCTCACACCTGCTGGGCTTCGGTGGGGCTGCCAGTTGAGAGCTGCAAGGTGATATGGCTGCTGGCTTCTTTGTGTTATGTGTCCCTGCATAAGAACATAAACATTAGAAACAAGAGAAGACCGTTTAGCCCATCTGGTCTGTTTGCTAGTTATCCAAGCATCATATCCAGCGGTTTCTTGAACGAAACCAGGGTATTGACTTCCAACAGCGGTGTCTGGGTACCTTGTCCCCCGCTCCCACACCTCTTTGTGTAAAGAAGAGCCTCCTGTACTCCCATCTTAAACACACACCCATGTAGTTCCACTTGTGGTCCCTGGTTTGTGTTTTCCCCTTTGGTCTAGCGAGATCCCGTAGGGTGGCTCTGTCAGGGCCTTTGGGGAGTCTGAATACTGGTAACAGGTGCCCTCGTAGTCTTCTTCGTTCAAGCCTTTGTTAATAAAGTTTCGTGTCCTCCAGCCTGGAAGTGGAAGACGTTGCCTCTAGAATGCTTATGAATATAATATGATTGAGTGAAAGATGGGAAAATTGTGCTGTCCCTCCGCTCCAGGGCCGGAGACAGCTGTCCTGTGCCAGTGCAGTACCCAGCACTGCCCCTCATAGCCACCCGTCTCTGTGCCCACTGTAATTCTGCCTGCGGCTGTAGAAACAGCAGCTCCAGGGGCTGCCCGGGTCTTCATATCCTCTCCGTTGCTGGACTTGACTCTCATTAGGACTTGAATGAACTGACCCTTAATCAGTTAATGAGTGAGCTAATGACTTAATGAGTTCGTTGACTCCTGCTGGGTGACCCTGCGCGCTGCTCCGCTCCGTCCCGCAGTCCTGGCCTTCCCGGCCTACCTCCTGGGAATCGAGCAGGGCCGGCTGAAGGAGAAGCTGACCAGCCGCACCATGGACAGCAAGTGGGGAGGCAAGTCGGAGACCATCGACGTCACCCTGAACACCGAGCAGGCCGCCTTCACCCGGGACGCCCTGTCCAAGGCCCTCTACTCCCGGCTCTTCGACTACCTGGTGGACGTGAGTGACCGGTCCCCCCTCCTGCTGGCTTTCACTCCAGCCCAGCTCCCCGTTCTCAGCAGCTCGATCAGAATGTCTGCAAGTTTGTTTTTCTGCTCCTGACGCCTGGACTTGCACAGTGCAGACAACAGCCACATGTCGGAGAGTTAGAGTTAGACGGGTCAGATGAACCCAGTTAGGGCTTCAGTTGTGTAATAAGGCTCAGCTGGAATGAACTCCAGCAGCTGTTTGAGTGGGTGTATTTCTTCATATCGTGGTTGGTTGTCAGGATACAAAGTTCGGACCATTGCTGCTGTACAGTACCGATAACAGTGATGGGTCTTGCTCTTTAGCGCCTCCTGCAGCCCTCTTGAGAATTTGTGCTCTTCAGTGCGGTTGGCAGTGCCGTGCTGCCCTCTCTGCCTCTGTCCTGGAGTGTCCCACCTCTCCTCTCCTGTTCTCCCTTGCTTCCCAGGCCATTAACAAAGCCATGCAGAAGGACCATGAGGAGTTCAACATCGGAGTGCTGGACATCTATGGCTTTGAGATCTTCGAGGTCGGTACCCCTCTTTTCCGGCTCTGGCTGATGCTCTGCTTTTTTTTTTTTTTTTAGTGGCGCACTGTCCACACCTGGCTCTTTGTAAAACAAGCTCGAGCCAGTGACCGTGCAGAGCAGATTCTGACTTTGCCGGACTGCTGAATTGATTAATCCCATGAGCCCCGATCCAATCCCACGAGCCCCAGCTCTTTACAAATTGTGGATTGTAGGGTGACCTGCTGGACTGGGGATTTCCAAGACCACGCCTGGCTCATTTTCCTCTGTTTGAGCCCTTGGATAGCTTTCAGGAATCTTTGATGTGTACCATGACCGTTACCATTTCATCACTCCTGGTGTAGGTGGTGGAACAGACCAGCTAATGTTTTAAGCGCCTGGTGGGAGGAGAATAAAACCAAACCGTTCAAAATCCCAACGGCCCCGTTTTGCTGCAAACTAACCCGGATTTCTCTTCGTAGAAAAACGGCTTTGAGCAGTTCTGCATCAACTTCGTGAACGAGAAGCTCCAGCAGATCTTCATCGAGCTGACGCTGAAGGCCGAGCAGGTGGGGCCTCAGTCAGCTGGGGGAGGGCTGCTTCTCGGGGGGGGTCTCTGGGTGCTGGGGACAGAGGGGGTGGCCCCCTGGTCTCTCCTGGGGCAGGATGTACCCCCTGGTTGGGGAGGGGGGTTGCTGGTTGCTGGTTCCAGTCTGGGCCGTGTGGTTTGCCGGGTCTGGGAGCGGTGAGCAGTCCGGGTCACGGTTCGAGCAGGAATATCAGACTCCACTCCTGGGATACTGCGGGATCTGCTGTGTTTTTTCTTTCATTCCAGCCAAGTTTGGCGATAATTCATTAGCTTAAGTACCTAACTACCAGGACAGGCTTAATACGTCCTCCTCAGACAAAAGCTTTGTAGATGCTGTATCTAAACTCTACAGTATCCTTTTAACTTTTAAATGTCAGTAAAGCAAACTCAAAAAATTAAGAAAATCATCAGATTGCCATTCTAGCTGGGAGTGCTGCAGACCCACTGTGCTGGACACCTCTAGTTAAAGGACAGAGGCACACCTTATAAATGTCCAGTATTGAGCAGAATTCCCTCAATTCTACAGACGCAAAATGTTTATTTGCATCCACGTGCTTCTCCCTCTCATAGCCTGTAGTGCTGCCACAGCTGTAGTGTTTTCAGCCCCGATCAGGCTGATGGATCTGTGCTCTGCTGCCCCGATCAGGCTGATGGATCTGTGCTCTGCTGCCTTGCAGGAGGAGTACGTGCAGGAAGGAATCCATTGGACGCCCATTGACTATTTCAACAACAAGGTGGTGTGTGACCTCATAGAGAGCAAAGTGGTGAGTCTGTATTCCTCAGCCCATATCGCAAAGCCCATCCACCCCCCAAAAAAATCTGTAAAATACATACAAAATAAACTACATTATGCCAGCAGGTATGGGGGGGGTGGGGTTATACAAGAAAATACAATTGTTTAATGAGAAACACAACAAACAACACAATAGTCCACACAGAATTATTACTGTATATTCCCTCATAAACTGAAATTAGGTCTCAGTGGGGATCTATTATTACTTTTAGTGTGAAATGAAATATATCACAATCTATCTAAGCTTTAAAGCACTGAGCTGCTTCAATGGTTTGTGCTCAGGGGGTGCGTGAGTGCATTTTGGGATCCAAAGGGGTGCTCCAGGATCCCCGCTTGATTCGCTCGCCCTTCTCTTCCCAGAATCCCCCGGGCGTCATGAGCATCCTAGACGACGTGTGCGCCACCATGCACGCCAAGGGCGAGGGGGCGGACCAGACGCTGCTGCAGAAGCTGCAGATGCAGATCGGCAGCCACGAGCACTTCAACAGCTGGAACAAGGGCTTCATCGTGCACCACTACGCCGGCAAGGCAAGACGACCGCCCCCCGAGCACACACTGCCGCCCTCTGCCTGCTCTCCAGGGTGAAACACTGGGAATCAGTACTGGCTGAACTGGCCCCCAGCGATCCCAGTGTGACCCACCCATAAAGATGGATGGTGTTTGGTTGTTGTTTTTTTTTGCTTCAATGTCAGCTGCATCTGAGCACTGTTTGCCTTCCACATCAGGTTCGAGGTCTGGGTTTTCGGCACACCTCTGGAGACATCTCCTTGCCTTTCTTTCCTTGCATCTTCCTTCAGTGGCCTGCAGGAAATCTGGGGCGCGCCTGCAGGGGCAGAAGCCTGTCGAGGTCGTCCTCTTAATAAGAACGAACCTTATTGGATAAAAAAGCGATTTTAAAAGTGGCTTCTCAAAGCGCTTTACAGACAAAGTACACAGTGGGAGGAGACAGCAGAATCACACAGCTACACTCAGGGTTTGGGATGCAGTAGGAAAGCAAAGGGGCAGCAGACAGAACCAGTGCAATAAAGGCCCTTCTGAAGAGGAAGGAGCTCAGGGCAGGAGACTCTCTGATATCCTTAGGGATAGAATTCCAGAGGTTTGGGAAGCAGCAGGAGAGGTGCAAGGACTCCAGGACAGGAGTAACGTGATCACTTTCACTCAACCTGGTCAGGAGTCTGGCAGCTGAATTATGGACTTTCTGTAGTTTCTTCAATGTGGATTTAGACACCCCAGCAGGCTGGGAGTTACACTGATTCTTTTGAGTTATACTGGAGTTACAGTAATAAGAGTAGTATCTCCTCCCCCCCATCATTTCCAGGTGTCGTACGACGTCAGTGGATTCTGCGAGAGAAACCGGGATGTGCTGTTCAGCGACCTCATCGAGCTCATGCAGAGCAGCGAATTGTAAGTGTGGAGAGAGACTCGTGGAGATGATCTTGTGCGCTAGTCGGCTTCCCTGCTCGGAGGTCGAAGGCTGCTGATGTTCCAAGGCCAGTGCCTGCGATTAGCAGCAGCAGACTGGCCAGTTCTCAAACGTGTGGGGAACGCCGGGATGCACATCACCCCTGTTCTGTGTGCTCTCCTCTCAGCCCATTCATTAAGGACCTGTTCCCCGAAAACCTTGACGCTGAAAAGAAGGGGCGCCCCACCACGGCCAGCAGCAAGATTAAGGTAAGATCGCCAGATCCCTAGATCCAACCGTCTGGCCTGTCCTGCGCCCAAGGAATAAATCCGAGCCCTCTGCGCGACCCCCTGCGTGTGTTAGCATGTTCGCAGAGTATGGCATGTTTGAGCGTGCTCCTGTTTGTGCTTGGTGTTTTGTCCCAGGTCAGGTGTTCTCTGTCTGAGCTATGAAGCTTGATTAAAGCCCCATCTCTGCATACACAGCATGCTCTTGCTGAGAGTAGGGCTAAAGCTACAGAGGCAGGACAGGTGGTGACCAGCTAGCTGCATTTTCAGGGCTGCCTTCCAGGACCGCAGTTTGGTGTAGTTCTGCAGCAGGCAGGGGGGGGGAACCCCCACCTGATCTCCTCTAAACAGCCTCCCCTCCTGCCAACAGAAACAGGCCAATAACCTTGTGCAGACGCTGATGAAGTGCACCCCCCACTACATCCGCTGCATCAAGCCCAACGAGACCAAGCGCCCGCGGGACTGGGAGGAGAGCCGCGTCAAGCACCAGGTGGAGTACCTGGGCCTGCGGGAGAACATCCGGGTCCGCCGAGCCGGTTACGCCTTCCGCCGCGTCTTCAGCAAGTTCCTGCACAGGTAGGA